ACATCTACCACCTTCCAACTGCAAGTAGTATAGAGTTGCACCAATTAGACCTACCAGGATTCTCTGACTGAGGGTTCCAATCAAGGATTTCATAGTAATATTGACTTTTACTGTACCATACCAATACTCATGGATTTCGTCAAAAAATGGTCCTTTATTGCTTAAGTTTTTTTCTCTCACATTAAGCTGGTACGTAATGAAATAATTATCAAAGATACAAAAACACACCCACTTTCTCACTCACTCACAATTTCTAATATCCTAATCATCTTCTATATCTTTAGACATAAAAAGTAAAATTCTCACCTTTGAACTGACCAGTGCGTCAACAAGCAGTCTCAAGCCTACACACAGAAGGCCCCAAACACACCCTGTGCTATAAAATATCACTTCTTCAGAATTGACTGACTTTGAGAAAATGGAATATATTATGGTACAAGTCACAGGCAAAGTCATGAATACACTAGTGAAAATAAAGTGTTGCACATAGTTGTTGATATCCTCAAGCACTTCGGTTACATGGCCATGATGAATTACCAAGGTGTTGAACCTGGCTTCAGGGTCTTCACACTGACTGTTTGCAAGTTCCTGGAATTGTGTTTCAACACGTTTAAATTCTTGCCACAAAAACAGCGAAAGAAATGGTATAGCAACAAAACTGGTTAGCCACTGAATTTCTACTAATATGTATCCAATGGACGTAATAACTAAGCCAACTGATTTCCAAGGTTCCGTAAAAGAAAAGGTAGGGTAGATACCGTTCATAACTACAGGATAGTTTTGCACCATTGAGTATTTGAGTGGACCAAATACTGTCGTGAATAAAAGGCCGACAATAAGGATTGGTCTCAACTTCTTGACCCACTTTTTGAATCCAACACTGAATCCGTACCGTTCCTCATACTTACAAAAACGAACATGCAACAGTTGTAATGTTTTTGACAGAAAGATACTGTAGACGAAAGACACGTACAAATCTATCAACATTACAGCACAGAACGACAGAAGACGTTCAACTGGTCTAGAGTCAATTGTATAGTTGTAAGTAACAATGAGGAAGAAGACAACGTTTGTCACAAAAACTATTTGAACAAATATGACGTACACAAGTTTAAGTGTGTCGCACCATGTCATTTTCTCCCGTAGGGCTCACACGACGATAGATTCCTCCGAGACAAGAAATGATACGTAAATATTTAAAGAATGAGGCTGAAACTGTGGACAGCTCGTCTGTACGTTGAGATGAAATCTCACCTGAAGATGGCTTTACCTTTCTAAATATTTTGGCTGACAGTTAGTTATCAATAACAAATACACTGTTTAAGCAATATTCCAGCAACGTCACTTTCACTGCGAGGAGACCTCAAGAATGAGCTTCACACAAATCATATGATGTCATATCATAGCATAAGCGATGACGATTACCAATGCAGGGAAGCACTTCACGTTTGTAATGTGTTCTGGTGCTCAATTCTCCCAATTAGAAGGATATAAATTTGTTCAGTAATTCCCGGCTGTGTGGAATGTACAAGAAAACAACAGATACAATTTCGTTTTTCAGACAAAACCAGGTGGTGAAGACAACATCAGTTCAAATTACTTTTTCGTTGTTCATATCTCCGAACATAGAATAAACGATTCCTGTAGTATTTCCAAAATGGCAACCACAATGCTTCCTGTCTTGCTGATCACAGTCGTTGATCTGTTTCATTCCACAAGGCGCACAAACCAAATGTATATTCCAGTGCAAACTGCTTCTCTCTAAAATATGTGCTGACACCAACAGTGCCCTACTCTTTTCTGTCCAGTGTTTGAGGGGATTTTCCTCTGGTAACAAAACTCCAAACCATTTTCCTGTTAATGTTTCTCCTAATATTGGCGGAAGGATCCCCCTGTGTCTTTTATTGGTATTCGATCGCACAATAAATGTTACACAATAGATCTAGATCAGACAACAATAGAAACGTTGTGCCACGTTCAATCATCTGATGCATTACGGGTTTTGTCGTCCACGTCCACGTCCACGTCCACGTCCACTTTTAATCAATACTGTATTGTTTAGCCCGTGTTGGTTCTGTCGATCATGGAATTGAGGACATTTCCAAACGTGTATCTTGTTAGTTCTGCGAAGTACTTCGTGCGAGAGTTTGGTTTTACATTTAATTCAGCATACACGTTGTCGAGCGACTCCTTTATTTAATATGCTAATTAAGTCGTTCTATCATCAACTCAAACTTTCATCATTTGCCATGTTAGATGTTTTTGTATTATGTTGGTATTCAGTAACAGGATACTTTAACGTTTTGCCTACATTTCTCCTCCGCCAGTGCTGCGGCACTTGGACACCCCTGTAATTTCATGTCATGTTCGTCTCCTCTCTGGACCTGCAGGGAAATTGTTGTGAGTGGCGGATTCTACGAGTAGGGAAGGACAGGCTTACCCTCTTCATGTACACATGGTGTTATCGCTGATTTTCAGAGATCCATTTATGCAATTTTCAGCACTATTTTGCCCTTTACGCCCAATGCAATCTTTTAGAAAGATAATCGAGCCTGATTATGCTCTGGCGTTGGCGTTTTATATATATTTTGACACATTGACCAGTTCTTTAAAAGAAGGCCGACTCCGTGGATAAAGTATTTAGTATATGGCAATCGTTGGGTTCGGGCCCAGACCAGGTCGTGAGTGAGTGAGTGAGTTGGGTTTAACGCCGCTTTTAACAGTATTCCAGTTATATCACGGTGTGTCAGCTTAATGTGGGAGGAAAGCCCGAAGTGATGCAGGTTTCAGACGTTTACCACTTCGGTGAAACCCACCAGCACGGGTATGGTGCTGACAAACCTAGAAACATAATCTGGGCGAACCGGGATTCGAACCCACAATCATAGGTTTCTGGCGTGCACAAGGGACGCAACTCTACACAGCGAATCGCGGCGCCTTAGACGACTGGGCCACCCGTGCCCCCCAGACCAGGTCATGGGTCAAGCAATGTGTAAGGTCAAGATAACAGGGAACGTCAGACATACAGTTTGCGATTCTTCTTAACATCTTCTGAAGATATTTTGATTTTGTAAATTTAATGCAGTATGGAGGTTATATTGTTTGCATACTTATGTAGGACAACATATTGGTGGCAACAATGGTAGGTAACTGTTACCTTCTTGCAATGAGAAACATGCTTCATTGTCGTTGTTATGGTGAACTCCACAAAGGGACATATTTAGTTTACATGCTTGATAGGCCTGAGGAATGTGCTTGAAATGCTGGTCTCAAATATTGAAGGTCAGATTCAATTTCAAGGTCAAATACACAAATGTGTTATGTTTGTGATAACTCAGGGAGTGTTTACTGTAGTAGAGAGATTCCATTTGGTAATTGAGTAAACTGACAAGGTCACTTCTAAGCTCCTTTGTGTACGGAACCAATCGTCTGTGTTTGCAAGAGCAAACATCCATGTTTTCAACTGGAAAAATTCAACCTTGTGAATCAAAAAAGGATGTGTGTTTGTGTTTTCCCTCATTTAGCAATAGTCAAGCTATATGACAGCAGGCTGTAAATAACTGAGTTTGGAACAGGCAAACGTTGACGGAGAAAGATGTCACGAATTCAACAATATCACCGCTTTCAACAAAAATACATATACTACCGACAAAAAAAGGGAACTAACAGTATCTCGATGAAGAGACCAAATGGCGAATTGTGGATATGATGGAGTAGGGGCGTCAATATCCCAAATTGCCCGAATGTTTGCCAAATCAAATAGTGTAATTTCTCGACTGTGGGACAAGTACCGTCAAAATGGATGCGGTTGCAATCAGACCTGGATGTGGCAGGCCAAACGTAAACCGGAGAAGACCGTCTCACATCATTAATTGCACCACGCATTAGATTCACATCTGCTCCTGTTATCAATAGAGCATTCCCGACAATAACAGGAAGGCTAATTTCAACATCTGCCGCAAACAACCTGCTCTATGCAGCCCGCCTGAAATTATGCAGCAGACTTTAAAAAGCGCCCTGAGACCCAGCAGAGAATCACAGACCGAGCACCCGCCAACGTGACCCAGCTTGGAGTAACTCTTCAGGCGGAATGGCAGGCAATACCAAGGGCAACCACACGCAAATTAATCAATAGTATGCCATCAAGGAGTGGTGCATGTATCGCCAAACATGGTGGAAAGGACAGATATTGATCTACACACACCCGAAATTACTTTGACACACAAGTATCGTCATTACACATTCACTGCCATTTCATCAGTTCCCTTATTTCTGTCGGTAGTATATTTAGGTGCTAAGGTCTGTTTACCATAGCAGAGTGTCACTGGTGTTTTATCAGAAGCAAATTGTAGGATTAGATGATGATTGATAGCAAATACATTCAACATCGAATTAATTAAAAATGTTTGCAGACATTGTGACAACCTTCTACACGAATCCCTTGATACTGACGTCATTGCGATACATCTATGATGACCTCATTTCCGACTAGTGCAGAGTTACTATTACGATTGGAAATTGAAATACGCAGTTTTGTCAGCAAATGAGGAATTATAGCTTACATTATACACCGTCAAAAAACGAGCCAAATAATAAAAGAAATATACACAATAGATGATTTAAAAATGGTACTTATATTTCCTGGATTTTGCACGGTGCTAGATGGACATTACACATAAAACCACTTCAATTGATGTGAAGTGAGTGAGCTAGTTGAGTTTAATACCGCTTTGAACAGTATTCCAGTTATATCTGGCCGCTAAGTTAGGAGTAAAGCCCGAAGTGATGCAGGTTTCAGACGATTATTACTTTGGTGAAAGCCACGAGCACGGGAATGGTGCTGACAAACCAAGAAACATAATCGGGGGAAGATCGAGACCCGAACCCACGATCAAAGGATCTCGTCATCCAAGACTGCACAGTGAATTTCGGTGACTTCGAGGACTGGGCCACCACTTTAGTCAACTATAATGATTCAAGCACAAAACAATCAACAACACTTTAAGCGGTTCATTTATTCATGATGCAGTTGTTGAAACGAATGCCATATGTGCACATGAAATCAAATTTTATGTAAGTGATCAGAATGGTTGGCGAATACACAGCTCAAGAGTTTTCATTCTGGAACAAGAAGAGTCGGAATAGAATCAATACCTTAGTTCCAAGCATTTTACCAATTTATTCCACTTATCTCACTGTCAATCACAAATTCAAAATCAGTCATGCAATAGGAAACAAATTTAGATAATACCTTTGTTTACTCATAGAATATTGAGAATACTAGTATTATGAAAATCAAACATGAATCACATGTTTATTCTTTACATTTCTTGTCAAAGTTGGCTGCCAGCTTTATAACGAGATACAAGTATGTATTCATCATATGCCGAGACGAGTGTCTTTCGTCACGTAATTCACTGGGTGGTGACATCCCTACAATGCTATTGATGCACCTCCTTAGCATTCCCTCTCAAGAAGGTAAGAGGCTAGGTATGACAAGAAAGTAAGGATGACACACTGAAGGTAGTGATTATAGAAGCTTACACATCTACACATTTTGTTACACATCGTGTTCAAAATCACATATCACTATGTGTGACATTCCTAAACACGCCACACTGACACGTTGGCTCTGTTGGCTTGAACTGTACAACCACAATTATGTAGGTGACCAGTGTTCCGACAATCTGAAAATGGATGATATTAGTGTTTTTAAGTATTGTGTATCCAATATTGAATTGTAAATATGCAATCTAAGTTTTAAGAGTCTATGAACACAGACAAGTGTTAAACTACAGAGTTTTCTGGATTGTGGTGCGTTAAGTGAAGGGTAAGAACAGGCCAATACTAGTTAATACTTGTACTAATAGTACTAGAGCATACAATAAATGACATATTAAAAATCGTTACTAATCTGAGGGGTAAAAGAACTTACGCCTCTCGGTTGATGTTATCGTATGTTTGATTTCCAGTTGAAAATAGCTCAAGTCAGCGATATTATATCCCAAAACTTGAACTGTGCTGGGCCTTAGTAGGCACCCTTAAAATACTTCTACGTCTTTTTATTTTGTTGGGTGTATTTCGATAAAAACAAAAATAAAATAAAAATAATTCGCCTTATATACTGATGATAGGTAACTTCGGTCTCATATCTTTGAAAATAAATCCACTCGTTTTTGAGGCACACATTTACAATGTTTCAAACATGGTACGGGTCATGAGGTTGTCATGTGGTCATTTCTTACTTCAGTCTTTATTGAACCTCATTATTTTCACGTCATGCAATAGATAGTATGACTCACCCCAAGGAGTGTTGGCATGGTGATGGTAAAGAGGCCGTGAATGTTGTAGCCGATAGTGTCTCCCGTCAATCTTGACACAAACAGGTTCATCTAAATAACAGAACAACATTAAATGCATTCTAATGATCAGATTGTCACGAGACAGCCTCATCTATAAGTGAGATAAATACCCTATGTCTGCCGAGTGACGATAAACCGAGCGCGAGAGTTAAACTATCAAAAACATTGTATTTGTTCATCACCATTTAATATGCTCTGTATCTTCGGGTTACAATGGGTCCGCAGCAATCTATGCTGGTCGTAAGAGGCGACCAGAAGGAGCATGTGATCGGGCTCGGTGACTTGTTGCTTACAATATCGATCACTAGATTGTGTGGTCTAGATTGTCTTATTTGCGTGTCGACGTCATATAGCTGGAATATTGCCGAGTGCGGGGTCATATCCAGCAATGACGCGACCTGTTAATTGGCAATTCTTTTCCCTCTGTTATAAGGATATGTGTTTGCACTAGTTTCTTGTAATCAAATTTCCATAGGAAAACAGAAAAGAACAAATTTATACATGTAAAATATCAAATAGGTTTATTCTTACTCGAAATGTGCCATGTACCTAATTATATACATGGAAATCAATTACCTTGAGTCGCATTAACAAATATTGTACATGAAAAACAAACACTCCAAGTAACTACTGTCATGATTAAAAGATAAACCTGTTGCCAACTTATCAAGTTCCAACTATGGTTACGTCATGGACTAATCACAGAAGCAGCTCCATCACTGAATTTTCAAAAACGTGCATCACACCAGATTACTCAAACTTGGAAGCACATGCCCGCTGCATGAGACCTCAACACCTGTATGCCTCATGCTTATATCTGCCTAGAAAGTAATGTGCACTCCCTATCTGATTATGTCACTTCCTATTTTGGAAGAGGCATGGTAAGGAGGTAAGCAGGATTTCCAACAAGATATTACCCTTCCTCCAAATTTGGCAAAGATCAATTTATAATGCTCTTATGTCAAGTTCTAATGGTCACTTTATATTTCGATAGCATTGGCAACAAACTGTCAGTTCACACAATGTAACAATCTGATCTTCAATGACACATTGTCCACGTTTACGTTTCAACAAATTTGGGGAAGTTGCCCCAAGGGAAAAGAAGGAACCTAATTATGTGTTTGTTGTTTCTGTCCTCATATGCCAAAGAAACCACGCTGAAGCTCTGACCCAAAGTTAAAGGTTTATGTTAGTACATCTCTTGCTTATGGACCATGTGGAATACATTCAAATTGGTTTTTCACAATTATTTTGATGATTACATTGACCTTTCACAATCTTCAAAACTGATGATTCATGATGATCTACAATCTTTAGATTTTTGGATGTGATAAAAAAGAATATGATCATTTTTTTCCTTTTCTGAGAAATGGAAACAAATTTACCACATGCATCACCTTGTTGTTAAAAGAAATTTGTTCTTAACCGTGTTAATGGCGTATTATTTCTTCAATTTGATAACAAGGATGGGAACACCTTTGTTTTTTGTAAATGATTGGAAACGGGAAGAACACATATGGACATGTACACGATGATGGACGACGGATACACATTGGTCATCACATAAGCCACTTGGATTTAAACATTTATCAGGGGAGATGAACATATAACTCATTTAATGTTTGAGTGTAAAAGTAGTTTCACATATACCTTCTGTAGCCCTATGCCAGAGAAACGTTCTTTATCAAGCCTCCATACGTACTGTAGAGTCCCGTGAGCCTGCAACAAGAACCGTAACGATATTCTGTACATCTACCACCTTCCAATTGCAAGTATAGTATAGTATAGAGTTGCACCAATTAGACCTACCAGGATTCTCTGATTGAGGGTTCCAATCAGGATTTCATAGTAATATTGACTTTTACTGTACCATACCAAACCATACCAATACTCATGGATTTCGTCAAAAATGTTACTTCATTGCTTAAGTTTTTTCGCTCACATTAAGCTGGTACGTAATGAAACAATTATCAAAGTTATCCTAATCATCTTCTATATCTTTAGACATAAAAAGTAACATTCTTACCTTTGAACTGACCAGTGCATCAACGAGCAGTCTCAAGCCTACACACAGAAGGGCCCAAACACACCCTGTGCTATAAACTATCACTTCTTCAGAATTGACTGACTTGGATAAAATGGAATGTATTATGGCACAAGTCACAGGCAAAGTCATGAATACAGTAGTGAAAATAAAGTGTTGCACATAGTTGTTGATATCCTCAAGCACTTCAGTTACATGGCCATGATGAATTACCAAGGTATTGAACCACGCTTCAGTGTCTTCACACTGACTGTTTGCAAGTTCCTGGAATTGTGTTTCAACACGGTTAAACTCTTGCCACAAAAACAGCGAAAGGAATGGTATAGCAACATAATTGGTTAGCCACAGAATTTCTACTAATATGTATCCAATGGACGTTATAACTAAGCCAACAGATTTCCAAGGTTCCATAAAAGAAATGGTAGGGTATATATCGTTCATAACTACAGGATAGTTTTGCACCATGGAGTATTTTAGTTGACCAAATACTGTCGTGAATAAAACGTCGACAATAAGGATTGCCCTCAACTTCTTCACCCACTTCTTGAATCCAACACTGAATCCGTACCGTTCCTCATACTTACAAAAACGAACATGCAACAGTTGGAATGTTTTTGACAGAAAGATACTGTAGACGAAAGACAAGTACAAATCTATTAACATTACAGCACAGAACGACAGAAGACGTGCAACTGGTTTAGAGTCTATAGTATAGTTGTAAGTAACAATGAGGAAGAAGATAACGTTTGTCATAAAAACTATTTGAACAAATATGACGTACACAAGTTTAAGTCTGTCGCACCATGTCATTTTCTCCCCAGGGCTCACACGACGATAGATTCCTCCGAGACAAGAAATGATACGTAAATATTTAAAGAATGAGGCTGAAACTGTGGACAGCTCGTCTGGACGTTGAGATGAAATCTCACCTGTAGATGGCTTTACCTTTCTAAACATTTTGGCTGACAGTTAGTTATAAATAATAAATACACTGTTTGAAGCAATATTCCAGCAACGTCACTATCACTGCGAGGAGACCTCAAGAATGAGCTTCACACCAATCATATCATGTCAAATCATAGCATAAGCGATGATGATTACCAATGCAGGGAACCACTTCACGTTTGTAATGTGTTCCAGTGCTCAATTCTCCCAATTAGAAGGATATAAATTTGTTCAATAATTCCCGGCTGTGTAGAATGTAGAAGAAATTTCGTTTTTCAGACACTTCCAGTTGGTGAAAACATAATCAGTTCAAATTACTTTTTCATTGTTCATATCTCCGGACATAGAATAAACGATTCCTGTAGTATTTCAAAAATGGCAACCACAATGCTTCCTGTCTTGCTGATCACAGTCGTTGATCTGTTTCATTCCACAAGGCGCACAAACCAAATGTATATTCCAGTGCAAACTGCTTCTCTCTAAAATATGTGCTGACACTAACAGTGCACTACTCTTTTCTGTCCAGTGTTTGAGGGGATTTTCCTCTGGTAACAAAACTCCAAACCATTTTCCTGTTAATGTTTCTCCTAATATTGGCGGAAGGATCCCCCTGTGTGTCTTATTGGTATTCGATCGCACAATAAATGTGACGCAGTGACACCAATACACTCATCCATAATAGAAACGTTGTGCCACGTTCAATCATCTGATGCATTACGGGATATTGTCGTCCACGTCCACGTCCACTTTTAATCACTACTGTATTGTTTAGCCCGTGCTGGTTCTGTCGATCATGGAATTGAGGACATTCCCAAACGTGTATCTTGTTAGTTCTGCGAAGTACTTCGTGCGAGAGTTTGGTTTTACATTTAATTCAGCATACACGTTGTCGAGCGACTCCTCTATTTAATATGCTAATTAAGTCGTTCTATCATCAACTCAAACTTTCATCATTTGCCAAGTTAGATGTTTTTGTATTATGTTGGTATTCAGTAACAGGATGCTTTAACGTTTTGCCTACATTTCTCTTCCGCCAGTGCTGCGGCACTTGGACACCCCTGTAATTTCATGTCATGTTCGTCTCCTCTATGACCCTGCAGGGAAATTGTTGTAAGTGGCGGATTCTACGAGTAGGGAAGGACATGCTTACCCTCTTCATGTACACATGGTGTTATCGCTGATTTTCAGAGATCCATTTATGCAATTTTCAGCACTATTTTGCCCTTTACGCCCAATGCAATCTTTTAGATAGATAATCGAGCCTGATTATGCTCTGGCGTTGACGTTTTTTATATATTTTGACACATTGACACATTCTTTAAAAGAAGGCCATCTCCGTGGATAAAGTATTTAGTATATGGCAATCGTTGGGTTCGGGCCCAGACCAGGTCGTGAGTGAGTGAGTGAGTTGGGTTTAACGCCGCTTTTAACAGTATTCCAGTTATATCACGGCGTGTCAGCTTAATGTGGGAGGAAAGCCCGAAGGTCTTAGACGTTTACCACTTCGGTGAAACCAACGAGCACGGGTATGGTGCTGACAAACCTAGAAACATAATCTGGGCGAACCGGGATTCGAACCCACAATCATAGGTTTCTGGCGTGCCCAAGGGACGCAACTCTGCACAGCGAATCGCGGAGCCTTAGACGACTGGGCCGACCGTGTCCCCCAGACCAGGTCATGGGTCAAGCAATGTGTAAGGTCAAGATAACAGGGAACGTCAGACATATAGTTTGCGATTTTTCATAACATCGTCTGAAGATATTTTGATTTTATAAATTTAATGCAGTATGGAGGTTATATTGATTGCATACTTATGTGGGACAACTTATCAGTGGCAACAATGGTAGGTAACTGTTACCTATTTGCAATGAGAATCATGCTTCATTGTCGTTGCTATTGTGAACTCCACAAAGGGACATATTTAGTTTACATGCTGGATAGGCCTGAAGAATGTGCTTGAAATGCTGGTCTCAAATATTGACGGTCAGATTCATTCTCAAGGTCAAATACACAAATGTGTTATGTTTGAGATAACTCAGGAAGTGTTTACTGTAGTAGAGAGATGCCATTTGGTAATTGAGTAAACTGACAAGGTCACTTGAATTGTCATTTCTAAGCTCCTTTGTGTACGGAACCAATCGTCGGTGTTTGTCAGAGCAAACATCCATGTTTTCAACTGGAAAAGTGAATCAAAAACGAACAAAAAATATACATATACTACCGACAAAACAAGGGAACTAACAGTATCTCGATGAAGAGACCAAATGGCGAATTGTGGATATGATGGAGTAGGGGCGTCAATATCCCAAATTGCCCGAATGTTTGCCAAATCAAATAGTGTAATTTCTCGACTATGGGACAAGTACCGTCAAAATGGATGCGGTTGCAATCAGACCTGGATGTGGCAGGCCAAACGTAAACCGGAGAAGACCGTCTCACATCATTAATTGCACTACGCAATAGATTCACATCTGCTCCTGTTACCAATAGAGCATTCCCGACAATAACAGGAAGGCTAATTTCAACATCTACCGCAAACAACCTGCTCTATGCAGCCCGCCTGAAATTATGCAGCAGACTTGAAAAAGGCGCCCTGAGACCAAGCAGAGAATCACAGACCGAGCACCCGCCAACGTGACCCAGCTTGGAGTAACTCTTCAGGCGGAATTGCAGGCAATACCAAGGGCAACCATACGCTAATTAATCAACAGTATGCCATCAAGGTGTCGTGCATGTATCGCCAAACATGGTGGACAGGACAGATATTGATCTACACACACCCGAAATTACTTTGACACACAAGTATCGTCATTACACATTCACTGCCATTTCATCAGTTCCCTTATTTCTGTCGGTAGTATATTTAGGTGCTAAGACCTGTTTACCCCATAGAGAGTCACTGATGTTTTATCAGAAGCAAATTGTAGGATTAGATGATGATTGGTAGCAAATACATTCAACATCGAATTAATTAAAAATGTTTGCAGACATTGTGACAACCTTCTACACGAATCCCTTGATACTGACGTCATTGCGATACATCTATTATGACCTCATTCCCGACTAGTGCAGAGTTACTATTACGATTGGAAATTGTAATACGCAGTTTTGTCAGCAAATGAGGAATTATAGTTTACATTATACACCGTCAAAAAACGAGCCAAATAATAAAAGAAATATACACAATAGATGATTTAAAAATGGCACTCATATTTCCGTGATTTTACACGCTGCTAGATGGACATTACACATAAAACCACTTCAATTGAAGTGAAGTGAGTGAGCTAGTTGAGTTTAATACCGCTTTGAACAGTATTCCAGTTATATCATATCCGCTAATAATGGGAGTAAAGCCCGAAGTGATGCAGGTTTCAGACGATTATTACTTTGGTGAAAGCCACGAGCACAGGAATGGTGCTGACAAACCAAGAAACATAATCGGGGGAAGATCGAGACCCGAACCCACGATCAAAGGATCTCGTCATCCAAGTCTGCACAGTGAATTTCGGCGACTTCGACGACTTGGCCACCACTTTAGTCAACTATGATGATGCAAGCACGACACAATCAACAACTCTTTAAGCGGTTCATTTATTCATGATGCAGTTGTTGAAACGAATGCAATGTGCACATGAAATCAAATTTTATGTAAGTGATCAGAATGGTTGGCGAATACACAGCTCAAGAGTTTTCATTCTGGAACAAGAAGAGTCGGAATAGAATCAATACCTTAGTTCCAAGCATTTTACCAATTTATTCCACTTATCTCACTGTCAATCACAAATTCAAAATCAGTCATGCAATGGGAAACATATTAAGATATTACCTTAGTTTACTCATAGAATATTGAGAATACTAGTATTATGAAAATCAAACATGAATCACATGTTTATTCTTTACATTTCTTGTCAAAGTTGGCTGCCAGCTTTATAACGAGATACAAGTATGTATTCATCATATGCCGAGACGAGTGTCTTTCGTCACGTAATTCACTGGGTGGTGACATCCCTACAATGCTATTGATGCACCTCCTTAGCATTCCCTCTCAAGAAGGTAAGAGGCTAGGTATGACAAGAAAGTAAGGATGACACACTGAAGGTAGTGATTATAGAAGCTTACACATCTACACATTTTGTTACACATCGTGTTCAAAATCACATATCACTCTGTGTGACATTCCTAAACACGCCACACTGACACGTTGGCTCTGTTGGCTTGAACTGTACAACCACAATTATGTAGGTGACCAGTGTTCCGACAATCTGAAAATGGATGATATTAGTGTTTTTAAGTATTGTGTATCCAATATTGAATTGTAAATATGCAATCTAAGTTTTAAGAGTCTATGAACACAGGCAAGTGTTAAACTACAGAGTTTTCTGGATTATGGTGCGTTAAGTGAAGGGTAAGAACAGGCCAATACTAGTTAATACTTGTACTAATAGTACTAGAGCATACAATAACTGACATATGAAAAATCGTTACTAATCTGAAGGGTAAAAGAACCTACACCTCTCGGTTGATGTTATCGTATGTTTGATTTCCAGTTGAAAATAGCTCAAGTCAGCGATATTATATCCCAAAACTTGAACTGTGCTGGGCCTAAGTAGGCACTCTAGAAATACTTCTACATATTATTATTCTGTTGGGTGTATTTCGATACAAACAAAAAAAAAAATTAAAAATAATTCGCCTTGTATACTGATGATAGGTAACTTCGGTTTCATATCTTTGAAAATAAATCCACTCGTTTTTGAGGCACACATTTACAATGTTTCAAACATGGTACGGGTCATGTGGTTGTCATGTGGTCATTTCTTACTTCAGTCTTTACTGAACCTCGCTATTTATGCAATAGATAGTATGACTCACCCCAAGGAGTGTTGGCATGGTGATGGTAAAGAGACCGTGAATGTTGAAGCCGATAGTGTCTCCCGTCAATCTTGACACAAACAGGTTCATCTAAATAACAGAACAACATTAAATGCATTCTAATGATCAGATTGCCACGAGACAGCCTCATCTATAAGTGAGATAAATACCCTATGTCTGCCGAGTGACGATAAACCGAGCGCGAGAGTTAAACTATCAAAAACATTGTATTTGTTCATCACCATTTAATATGCTCTGTATCTTCGGGTTACAATGGGTCCGCAGCAACCTATGCTGGTCGTAAGAGGCGACCAGAAGGAGCATGTGATCGGGCTCGGTGACTTGTTGCTCACAATATCGATCACTAGATTGTGTGGTCCAGATTGTCTTATTTTCGTGTCGACGTCATATCCAGCAATGACGCGACCTGTTAATTGGCAATTATTTTCTGTCTGTTATAAAGATATGTTTGCACTAGTTTCATGTAATCAAATTTCCATAGGAAAACAGATAAGAACACATTGATACATGTAAAATATCTTACCAAATAGGTTTATTCTTACTCGAAATTTCCATGTGCCTAATTATACAGATGGAGATGAACTACCTTGAGTCGCATTAACAAATATTGTACATGAAATACAAACACTTCAAGTAACTACTGTCATTACTCAAGCTTTGGAAGCACATGCCAATGAGAACTTAACACCTGTATGCCTCACGCTTATATCTGCCAAGAAAGTAATATGTACTCCCTATCTGATTATGTCACTTCCTATTTTGGTTGGTTGGTTGGTTGGTTTGTTGGTTAACGCCACACTCAGCAATATTCCAGCTATATGACGGCGGTCTGTAAATAATCGAGTCTGGACCAGACAATCCAGTGATTGATATCACCATACAATTGGGATCGATGACATGTATCAACCAAGTCAGCGAGCCTGACCACCCGATCCCGTTAGTCGCCTTTCACGACAAGCATAGTCACCTTGTACGGCAAGCATGGGCAAGCATGGGTTGGTGAAGACCTATTCTACCCCGGAATCTTCACGGGTCTCCTATTATGGTAAGCAGGTAAGGAGAATTTCCAACAAGATATTATATAATGGTCACTTTATATTTTGATAGCATTGGCAACAAACTGTCAGTTCACACAATGTAACAATCTGATCTTCAGTGACACATTGTCCATGTTTACGTTTAAAAAAATTGGGGGAACCTAATTATGTGTTTGTTGTATCTTTCCTCATATGCCAAAGAAACCACGCTGAGACTTTGACCCAAAGTTAAAGGTTTATGTTAGTACATCTCTTGGTTATAGACCATGTGGAATACATTCAAACTGTTTTTTCACAATTATTTTTATGATTACATTGACCTTTCACAATCTTCAAAACTGATGATTCATTATCATATTGTCCTTTACTGAGTAGGGGAAACAAATTTTCCAAATATTGGAGCCAACATTAGTCGGAACATGCATCACTTTTAGTTTTTCTTACTTTTTGTTTTTCTTAACCATGATAAGGGCATAAGAAAAAACACATATTGACATGTACACGACGGATGGACGACGGATACACATTGGTCATCACATAAGCCACTTGGAATTAAACATTCATCAGGGGAGATGAACATTTAACTCATTTAATGAATGAGTGTAAAAGTAGTTTTACAGATACCTTCTGTAGCCCTATGCCAGAGAAACGTTCTTTATCAAGCCTCCATACGTACTGTAGAGTCCCGTGAGCCTGCAACAAGAACCGTAACGATATTCTGTACATCTACCACCTTCCAATTGCAAGTATATTATTGAGTTGCACCCATTACACCTACCAGGATCCTCAGATTGAGGGTTCCAGTCCAGGATTTCATAGTAATATTGACTTTTACTGTACCATACCAAACCATACCAATACTCATGGATTTCGTCAAAAATGTTACTTCATGCTTAAGTTTTTCTCTCACATTAAGCTGGTACGTAATGAAACAATTATCCAAGTTATCCTAATCATCTTCTATATCTTTAGACATAAAAAGTAAAATTCTTACCTTTGAACTGACCAGTGCATCAACGAGCAGTCTCAAGCCTACACAAAGAAGGACCCACACACAACCTGTGCTGTAAACTATCACTTCTCCAGAATTGACTGACTTGTATAAAATGGAATATATTATGGCACAAGCCAACGGCAAAGTCATGAATACACAAGTGAAAATAAAGTGTTGCACATAGTTGTTGATATCCTCAAGTACTTCAGTTACATGGCCATGATGAATTACCAAGGTGTTGAACCTGGCTTCAGTGTCTTCACACTGACTGTTTGCAAGTTCCTGGAATTGTGTTTCAACACGGTTAAATTCTTGCCACAAAAACAGCGAAAGAAATGGTATAGCAACAAAACTAGTTAGCCACTGAATTGTTACCAATATGTATCCAATGGACGTAATAACTAGGCCAACTGATTTCCAAGGTTCCATTAAAGAAATGGTAGGGTATATATCGTCCATAACTACAGGATAGTCTTCCATAACTACAGCATAACTTTGCACGATGAAGTATTCTAGCGGACCAAATACTGTCGTGAATAAAAGGCCGATAATAAGGATTGCTCTCAACTTCTTCACCAACTTCTTGAATTCATCGCTGAATCCGTACCGTTCCTCATACTTGCAAAAACGAACATGCAACAGTTGGAATGCTTTTGACAGAAAGATACTGTAGATAAATGACAAGTACAAATCTATTAACATGACAGTACAGAACGCCAGTAGACGTGCAACAGGTTTAGAGTCAGTTGCAAAGTTGTAGGTAGCAATGAAGAAGAAGACAACGCTTGTCATTAAAAGTATTTGAACAAATATGACATACACAAGTTTTAGTCTGTCCCACTTTGCCATTTTCTCTCCAGGGCTCACACGACGATAGATTCCTCCGAGACAAGAAATGATACGCAAATATTTAAAGATTGAAGCCGACACGGTGGAAAGCTTATCTTCACGTTGAGTTGGTATCTCATCGGTAAACGGCTTTACTTTTGCAAACATTTTGGCTGACAATTATTTGACTGGTTTAAAATACTATTGCTTCCAAATATTTGACTGATTTGAGACTACGTATTGTAATATTCCAGTACTTTAACTCGGAGGAGACCTTGAGACTATGCTTTACAAATTGTACCTTTGAGAATGCTTTGACATCAGATTCATCAAGTACAGTATGTTCCCTTTCTGTTTTTCAGACAGTTTGGTGAAAACAACATCAGTCCAAATTACTTTTTTGTTCATCTCTCTGAGCACAGAATAAACGTCTCCTGTCGTATTTCCAAAATGGCAACCACTCTTCTTGTCTTGCCGATCACAGTCGCTGATATGCTCCATCACCCAAGCTTATCCCTTCCATTCCCTTACGCTAACACTGCACGGTTCCACTCTAAATGCCACTCAAAGAAGCTAACACTGCACTACTAAACTCATTCCCTGTTAATGTGTGTCACAATAAGGGTTTTGCAGGTGCGTAGTGGGAACTTGGTCAGCCTGTATAATTGTATGCCATAAAAGCAATGTCAACATAAGACTAAATACTTTGATAACTTGTAATGACTCTTGAGACCACTTTCAAACATTGTCAGTGTTAATTAACAAACAAACTAAATAGATAATTAAATGACGCATTATGGCTTATCATATTCATTACGGGTTATCATCGTCCACGCCCACCTTTAATCAATACTGTCTTGTTTGATCCGTGTTGGTTTTAAGTTGAGTTAAGGGATTATGGATTTGATGACCTTCCCGAACGTGTATCTTGTTAGTTCTGCAAATTATTTTGTGCGAGAGTTTGGTTTTACATGTCATGCAACCTTTATGTTGTCGAGCGACCCCTCTTTTGAATATGGGGGCGGTCGGGTAGCCTAGTGGTTAAAGCGTTCGCTCGTCACGCCAAAGACCCGGGTTCGATTCCCGACATGGGTACAATGTGTGAAGCCCATTTCTGGTGTCCCCCGCCGTGATATTGCTGGAAAATTGCTAAAAGCGGCGTAAAACCATACTCACTCACTCACTCACTTTTGAATATGACAATTAAATAATATCATAACTTAAATCTTTCAATATCTGAAAGTTACATGTCGTTGTATTCAGTAACTGCCAGTTAACCAGAACCATGTTAATGGTATACTTTAACGTTTTGTCAAAACGCAAAGTTATATGATTTTGCCACTTAATCAAATGTAGCTCCATTTTAATGGGGAGGCTTTGAGGTTTTGTCTTAATATGTTTTTGACACCATGTGGCGCGTGGTCATGTGATATCGTATCATGTGTAAGTCCTTTATATCCCTGGGGAATACGTTTGACACATTGACCATTCCTGTAGAAAATCAAGGTCATCCTTCAGGTTTTATCCTGTAGAAAAAGTATATCTCAAGAAGCATTTAGAGTAGGTCAATTACAGAAAAGTACCTGTCATCCTTAGAGGGAGTGGGGCTCAGATTCAGTCGTGAGTTGACCTATGTGTAAGATCACGGTCAAATGAAGGTCATTTTAAGGTATGTTTGCCATTTTCACTAAAATGCCTTTTTCTACATATTCTGTCAAGTGCTAAGCAGTATAGATTCTAGTGGCTACATAGTTTGCATACTTGAGATACAAGAGATGACAATCTTATGGTATCAGCTCAAACTTACCTACTTTCAATGAGACATATGCTATAGTTTCATTGTGAAATCTTCCCAGAGACATCCAATTTGGTTTACGCTCAGGTTCACACACTAAAACATTATTATCTTCATTAAAACACAAGAAGTGTTCACTGTAGCAGGATGGTGCATATAGTCGTCAGCGTGGTGCATTGAGTGAGTGAGTGAGTTTAGTTTAACGCTGCTTTTAACAGTATTCCAGGTAGATCGCGGCGTGTCAGCTTAATGTGGGAGGAAAGCCCGAAGTGATGCAGGTGTCAGACGTTTACCACTTCGGTGAAACCCACGAGCACGGGTATGGTGCTGACAAACCTAGAAATATAATCGGGGCGAACCGAGATTCGAACCCACAATCTTAGGTTTCTGGCGTACCCAAGGGACGCAACTCTGCACAGCGATTCGCGGCGACCTCGACGACTGGGCCACCCGTTCCCCCGCGTGGTGCATTGAATTGGTAATTTTTTGAGTGATCTCCATGAAAGGTCAAGGTCACTGGAATGGTAATTTCTAAGGTTAATCTGCTTGTTTGTGTACGGTATGTTTGTGTTTGAATGGGAATTTTGTCAGAGCCAGCACCAATGTTTCAGCTGGAAATAATCACGCATCTGATATTCAACTTTCTTGTTAATGCACGTAGAGGCATGTGACTTTCTGTGTTAAATCAATGTTCTCCCAAATTGAAGTTATATTAATCAACCGGAAGTTCATATAACTACCTTTTTAAGGTAGACTGAGGCCTAAACTTCTGTTTTAAAGTTGTCTTCCATTAGACATGTGTTTTCCAAATCGGAGGCGATATCACTAAACCGGAAGTGCATACGCTTTTCTCATTATTGTTTTTAGAAGATTTTATTATCGGCTGTATTAAGTGAGTGGGTGAGTGAGTATGGTGTTACGCCGCTTTTAGCAATATTCCAGCAATATCGCGGCGGGGGACACCATTGCCAATTACCGGATTCAAACCCGGGTCTTCAGCGTGACGAGCAAACGCTTTAACCACTAGGCTACCCCACCGCCCCCTTTATTAAGAAAGCCGAATATGTTTACACATGTACATAGTGAAGGTGTGTTTTCAAACTGCGGTTACACATGTACAACATATGCATCAACTGTGGCAAAGTCATGACATGTTAAATAAGTCAGTATTACAAATCGGAGGGTTTTTTTCAAATCTAAATAGCTTGTTGATTGCCTAGCAATTAGTATCTGACCCCTTGTATCGTTTACAGCCTTGCTAAACACACTTCAGCCTTACGTAGTTTAAGCAGAGCCGTGTGGATCATTGAATCATGTTTAGAAAAGGTGGGTTTTTAATGTCTAATGCTTTAAATCGAAAATACAGTGAAACCCTGTTGAAACAAATCCTGTAGTTTTGCCGTTCTAAGATATATACAAAGGACATTACTCTTCAACAATGTCAATACTGATTGTATTAAATAGGTTTAACTGTATATGATATGTTTAAGGCATTCACGGAAACCTTAATTAAACAAAGAATTATACATCATGCCTTCAGTTTATTCGAAGTCAATTGACAAGTCCTTCAAAATGTATAAGGTTATATGAAGTAGTGGTTGATATTTATAGTTTTCAATATTATATCAGACATCTATCCCTTCAGTATACAAAAAGCATTTTCTTCAAGCAATATGGCCTTGAAACTGGAAACTACCAGCGTATTAATGTTCTAGGGTAATATGCATAACTTGTCCCAGTGACATTGGTTGGTTGGTTTGTTGTTTAACGCCGGACTCAGCAATATCCCAGCTATATGACGGCGGTCTGTGAATAATCGAGTCTGGACCAGACATTCCAGTGATTGATATCATGAGCATCAATCCACGCTATTGGGATCGATGACATGCATCAACACATCTAGTCAAACAACTGTTGACTAGATGTGTTAAAAGTACGCTCTTTTCCTGTCATTTGCTGCCGTGCACAAGGCCTCTGACATATACATGTATCTAACACTTTCGTCTATATTGTATAGCACTTCGTCAACAGCCTTTTCTAATAAAGAGTAGCATTCACTGCTCAACAAGTTGTACATAAATTGGTCAGCTTTATCATTGACCCAAACGAATTTGGAAACCTTCTTATCACCATGAGCTTGCACGGGTGAAATCTACACAGAAGTATGTATGCTAGCCATGACAGGAAGGTGACAGGATTCCGTGCGTGATACAAGGTTGAAATTACAGCATACGTCAAACAACCCAGATGAACAGATTATGTAATCGATGACGCTAGCACCTTGATTGCCAATAAACGTAAAGTTTCCAACTTCTGAGTCTGACCCACATCTTCCATTCATGATATGGACCCGTGAAGATTCCGGGGTAGAATTGGTCTTCAGCAACCCATACTTGCCGTAAAAGGCGACTATGCTTGTTGTAAAAGGCGACTAACGGGATCGGGTGGTCAGGCTCGCTGACTTGGTTGATACATGTCATCGATCCCAATAGCGTGGATCGATGCTCATGCTGTCAATCACTGGATTGTCTGCTCCAGACTCGATTATTTACAGACCGCCGTCATATAGCTAGAATATTGCTGAGTGCGGCGTTAAACAACAAACCAACCAACCAACCAACCAACATTCATGATATGTATATTTAAGATACTGCATAAATTTATCAAACTTTTTCCAAAGTTGTTTAACACATTATCTGCTGACGCTCGTACCATGTTAAAAGAAAACTATACACTGAAGAATTATCATTTTCTAAATGTTCAAGAATATCATCTTCAACAAAATCCGACTCAGTACAACGTACAGTGACATCTAGTCAACAGTGGTTTGACCGTGAATGTGAGCTACTTAAAAAAGAAAGATGTAAATATTTAAACAATTTTAGGAGAGAAAAAGGATAATAATTCATTATATGAGTATAATTATATTGAAA